GCAGCAGCAGCGGCGGCGGGGGTGCGAAATTCCGAAGCCGGATTATCAAATGGTACAGCCGTGGGTCTGCTTGACTCGACCCTGGCTGTCCAAATTTTTCGAAATCCAACACACTGCAGTCACTGCGGGCACTGCGGTGTGCTGCCGCGAGAGAGAGGGCTAAGCGTGCGGCGGTGGCCTGAGAAGAAGTGAAGCGAAGATGCAGCTGCTCGCCACCGCCAGAAGAAGAGGCCAACGCCGCCCGTTTTCCCACAGCCCAAGCGCAGTCACAAGAGTGGGGCCCGCACCGGTCGCCCACGGCTAGCTTGGATAGAGCCTCGGCCAAGGCTTACGCTGTCCCACACTCGCCCTCCCAACCAACGTCCACCTTCATCATCAACACCCGTGCAACACCCTCGTCACCTCGTCCATTTGCGGTGACTCGTCCTTGCCTCATCATCTCGTCGCGTGCCGCCCCACGCCTCTTGTCTGCAGCGTTCACGCTTGCCCGTATATCTACACGCCCGCTGGCCTTCCTTACCTCGTCGACAGCTCGCGTCCCCATCCGCAACTTCTCCATCACCCCTCGCCTCCACAGCATTCCGCACACCATGACCGACCAGATCAAAGCCACATTCGCCGCCAAGGCCGCCAAGAACGAGGCCGTCTTCGTCAGCTTCGTCACCGCCGGCTTCCCCACCAAGCACGACACCGTCGATGTCCTCCTCGGCCTCGAGCAGGGCGGCGCAGACGTCATCGAGCTCGGCGTCCCCTTCTCCGATCCCCAGGCTGACGGCCCCGCCATTCAGGAGAGCAACCAGGTCGCGTTGGAGCAGGGCGTCGGCTACACCCAGTGCCTCGACTACGTCCGTCAGGCACGCGCCAAGGGCCTCAAGGCCCCCGTTCTGTTCATGGGCTACTACAACCCAACGCTCGCCTACGGAGAGGACAAGGCGGTTCAGGATGCCAAGGCTGCCGGTGCCAACGGCTTCATCATCGTCGACCTGCCTCCCGAGGAGGCCGTCGACTTCCGAGGCGCCTGCACCAAGCACGGCCTCTCGTACGTGCCGCTCATCGCCCCTTCCACCTCGACCGAGCGCATCAAGCACCTCGCCTCGCTCGCAGACTCGTTCATCTACGTCGTCTCCAAGATGGGCACCACCGGCGCCACCACCACCGTCTCCACCTCCTTGCCCGACCTCATCACCCGCATTCGCAGCATCACCCCCATCCCGCTCGCCGTCGGCTTCGGTGTGTCCACACGGGAGCACTTTGTCGAGGTCGGCGAGCACGCCGACGGCGTCGTCATCGGAAGCAAGATCGTCGCCAAGCTCAAGGATGCGCCCGCAAACACGCCCGCTCGTGTCGAGGCGGTGCGTGCCTACTGTGCCGAGATCACCGGCAAGAACGAGGGCGGCATCCAGCGCAAGCAGCCGCTCAACATCAAGCAGGTCATGGACCAGCCCGACTCGGTCCCCGTGCCCAAGGTCGACGCTGTCGTCCCCGCCGACAGGCCACCCGTGCCTGGCCTCGACACCATCGTCGACGCCGAGGGCAAGGTGCGTCCGCCGCGTTTCGGCAAGTTCGGCGGTCAGTACATCCCCGAGGCCCTCTTCGACGCCCACCAGGAGCTCGAGAAGGCCTACCTCACCGCGCTCGAGGACCCCGAGTTCTGGAAGGAGTTCGAGAGCTACTACGAGTACATCGGCCGCCCCAGCGAGCTCTACCCGGCCGACCGCATGACCAAGGCCGCCGGCGGTGCGCAGATCTGGTTCAAGAGGGAGGACCTCAACCACACCGGCTCGCACAAGATCAACAACGCCGTCGGCCAGATCCTGCTCGCCCGCAGACTCGGCAAGACCAGAATCATTGCCGAGACCGGTGCCGGTCAGCACGGCGTGGCCACTGCCACGGCGTGTGCCAAGTTCGGCATGGAGTGTGTCGTCTACATGGGCTCCGAGGATGTGCGTCGTCAGTCGCTCAACGCCTTCCGCATGAAGATGCTCGGCGCCAAGGTGGTGGCGGTTGAGAGTGGAAGCAAGACGCTCAAGGATGCCATCAACGAGGCCAACCGCGACTGGGTGACCAACCTGCACAACACGCACTACATTGTCGGTTCGGCCATTGGTCCGCATCCGTTCCCCTCGATCGTGCGCGACTTCCAGTCGATCATCGGCAAGGAGGTCAAGCAGCAGCTGCACGAGAAGAAGGGCAAGCTTCCGGACGCTGTCATTGCGTGCGTTGGTGGTGGATCCAACGCGATTGGTATCTTCCATCCGTTTGTCCAGGACAAGAACGTGCGTCTGATTGGTGTCGAGGCCGGAGGTGATGGTATCGACACGGAGCGTCATTCGGCTACGCTTAGTCGCGGTACGCCCGGTGTGCTGCACGGTGTACGCACGTATCTGCTGCAGGACCAGTTTGGCCAGATTACCGAAACCCACTCGATCAGCGCTGGTCTCGACTACCCCGGTGTGGGCCCCGAACACTCGTTCCTCAAGGACTCTGGTCGCGCAGAGTACATCGCTGCGACGGACGAGGAGGCCCTGCGTGGATTCAAGCTCTGCACTGAGCTCGAGGGAATCATTCCCGCGTTGGAGACTTCGCACGCTCTCTGGAGCGCCTTCCATATCGCCAAGACCATGAAGAGCGATGAGGATATCGTCGTCTCGCTCAGTGGTAGGGGCGATAAGGATGTAGAGCAGATCGCTAACGCTATCGCCCACGGCGGCTGGGGCGAACGTCTCGGCTGGAACATCGCTTGAGCTGTGTAGCTCAGTCTTGCGTGCCAGCCCCGTCTGTGTTTGTGTTCGAAAATGATCCTCCAATTGCATTCTCTCTTCATATTTGCCACTCGGTTGGCCTGCTTTGGTCCTGGCTTCGTTTGGCACTGAGTCTGACCGGACTTTGCCGTGGAGTTCGCGTGCGTTGGTCACCCTCGTCTCGCCATTGTGTGCCCTTGCTCTCTTTCTCCTAGCCCCTGCCAGCCTTTTTCGCCTTTGCCGCTGCGTTGTTCATGTAGACCTCGCCCTCGTCTTGCAGTGATACAGAGCTGTGCCGTTCGCTCATCGCGTCGTGTGCGCCATTCTCTCGTGCACAGCTTGCTCTTTTTTTGCCCGTCGGTCCATGTGCGTTGATCTCGCCCCCGGCTGGCATTGATTCTTGCTGGTCTTTGCTGTGAGGTTCGGTCCCGCTGCCTTCTCGTCGGTCTTCTGACGTAAGGCCGCCCGCTATTGTGCGAAGGCCCTCTCGCAGCCTCGATCCCGGCCTCTCTTGGTCTGTGTGGTCGGTTCAAATGGCTCGACACTTGCATTGAAGAATATGGGCGAAGTAGCGGATCTGGGTGGCATTGACAGCTTGATCTGCCGGATGGAGAGGGACTGGCTCAGCTGGAGCCCCACTCCGCGCATGGGTGAGGCATGCCACGTTTCTCTCGTGATCATTTTTCCCGCCATTCGGTTCGCGGGGAGCATATGCCACTGCGGCATCGCGGGACGCGTTCTCTCCTGCTGCAACCTGATTTCGACAAGGACGGCACACAGCGCCATGTCCGAGTGGAACCCGCTGTGCACGGCGCTGTATTGGTGCGGCGTGTGATGATTTGGCACCCGTCTTGTCGCTGTTTGTGTAGTACTGTACTGCTCTCTCTCCAACAAGTCCGGCTCGTTTGAGGAGAACGCTTGCTGACACCTCGCTTGTGGTCAAGTATCGCGGTATCGATCTCAATGGCGAGGCACGCCGGCGCTTTGGCGGATGCTTTCCGGCCCGCCACGTCGCCATGTACACGCTGTTGCATATGGTGACCAGCAACGGCTCTTTTTTTCGACCATGATTTGAGGCTCGCTTTTCGCGCTACACCTTTACGCGACTATTGTAAGGTGGAGCACGCGTAGGGCGCGCTGAGAACAACACTTTTTGCGGATGCAACCGACTCAGCCTTGCATCTCTCTCCTCCGTAACCACGACCATCACCTCCACCATGCCGTAGCTGGTCGTGCCGGTTCGCTCCCTGCCCTCACCATGAACGCCGTCATTTCGGCAAGCGACATCAAGAGTAAGTTCCCACCTTGTCTCTGAACCCGCAAGAGTCGTTCTGACCAGCATTGCGCACGCCAGCTTTCTACAGCGCGCTCAACTGCCTCAGTCGATTCTCGGATACGTTCTGGCTGCAGTGCAGTCGGCTGAACAATGGTCAGGCCCAGATTCGACTGTCGGCGATCAATGCGACCAATTCGGCGTTCTGCATGTTTGTCTTTGACCCGGACTTCTTCCTCAGCGTAGCGACGCAAGCGAGTGCCAAGATCGAGTGCCAGATTCATCTCAAGGTGAGCCCCGATTCAGCAATGCAGCACAAAAGCTCCCATACTGATGCGATGCTCTTCGGAGGGGGGGAAATTAGTCGATACTGTCGATTCTGCGGTCGCGAGGACGGACGGTGGAACGGCTGGAGCTCGACCTTACCGACTCGGGCTCCGAGTGTCGCTTCACCGTGGCACTGCACTGTCAGCATGGCATCTTGAAGGTGCATCGGCTGACGTACGAGCCAAAGCGCGGCTTGCTGCCTACGGCCGATCCTAACCCGCCCAACTTCTTCTGCATCGCCGCAGCTACAGCGACCGAGTGGACGGACCACTTTCTCTCCTCGAACCGCAATGGCGAGATCACCTTCGCGTGCACGCCCAGCACGTGTGTGGCACGCAGCAAGGACGACGACTCGCCCGACCCCAAGGGCGGTCTGCGCAGGGCGATCCATACCGAAGTCAAGATCGCCGTGGACGAGTTCCGCGAGTACGCGGTGCTGGATGCGTGTGCACTCACGTTTTCGCTGCGCGAGTTCAAAGCCACCGTGGCACTGGCAGAGGCACTGGGCGTCGCGCTTGAAGTCAACTTTAGCGATGGAGACGAGCCGTTGTTCGTGAGGTTAAGGGTGGAGAACGCCGTAGCGGCCGAATTCGTCATTGCCACCACAAGGCCCGATCGAACCAATGCTCCCGACAAGGAAGCTGCACCCGCGGCAGTCGCAAGGTCCGTTTCTTCGTCAGTGGCCCCGCCTGCCGCGAGGGAGACGCAGAGACAGACAGAATCCTCCGACGCTTCCATTGCTCCTCCTCCACCAGTGAGACCGCCAGTGGAATCGACTCCTGTTAATCCCGTGCAGGCGCAAGCCCCACTTTTCTTCCCGGGCGCTTCTCAGCCTTCACAGCCCGAGCCGGAAGAACAGACGCAGCCGCTGCCACCATCCCCGCAGTTCGTTCAGCCTACACCCGTCGCACGCGGTGGAGACCCCGGCGAGTTCCTCGCTCCCTCCGAATCCGACACCGAGTCCGAGCCCGATCCGGCTGCTCCGCGCAAACGCTTCAAGCCTTTCTTCTAATCACACACACACACGCTTGCCCGAGTCGAATGCATGCGTACAGATTGAATGCACACCCAGAGTGATCAGGTGGGAAAGGCTAGCGGAAGAGTACGTCGGGGAGAGTACCTTCTGCCGCGTAATCGTCTTGGCCACCTTGCTGGTCGCCAGCCGTAGCTGAGTCTGCCGAAGGAGGGGTGTCGGTGTAGTTTTTGAGCACGGTGCTTTCGAGGAACACCTCGTCCTTGAGCACGTCGGTCCAGTCGTCCATGCGTCTCCTCACCAACGACACCAACACGGCCAGCAGGGCAGCGGTCTGGATCACGCCGAACAGCCGGCGTTGAAGCGCGTACTCGTCGGCGACGGTCGGCGCATGCACCCATCCCGCCTCGATCAGTGCGCGTGCGCCCCACATTGGTGTGGCCAGCAACAGGACGCCTGCCGAGGTGATGGGTGCGACGATGTACGTCCATGCGACGCGCACGCGCGCACGCGGATACAGACCTCCTCGCAACACATGGTCGACCTTCGCCATGAACCATGCCACCATGCCATGCTCGGGCACGCCGAGCAGGCGCATCGCAAACAGCGCCAGACGCGCCTCGATCACGCCGCACGCCCACACCTGACCGAGCCGCACTGCCGCCTGGCCGCGATCGCGCAGCGGAGCCACCAGGTACTGGTCAATCACCATGCCCATCACCAGCGGCATAACACCCGCAACGCCCACCAACAGCGCAGCCGCTTTGAGCACGCGCTTCGCCTTGACAAGCATGTGCACCGCCAGGTACATGCCTGGACTGGTGCGGTGCATTCGTGCGCGTCGCTTGCGTCGGGTCCACATCTTGCTCGCACCGCCGACCAGGCTCCACGCTGTCCAGAGCAGGCTGAGGCCAAGCACGTAGGCGTACACATCGTGCACCTCGCGCCGCCTTAGCGCGAACAGAGCGCGACCAAGCACGAGCGGCACACCGAGCCCGAGCATGAATGCCGCACAGTGGCTCAGCCACAGCAGCACCAGCACCGCCGTGATGCGCGCGCGGTAGTGCGACGGCAGGTAGATGTGCGCGTACGTCGGCCTCGGCGTGTGCTTCTCGGCGTCGGCATCCTGCTTGGCGATCGCCTCTGCCAGCCGTTCGTTGGGCGCATTCCCGTCCGCGTCGAGCGGGATGATCAGCGGACCTGTCGTGATCGCCTTGTCGTCCGCTGGAACGCGGCAAAGTCCTCCATCTGCCTTCCATTCGGCATCTATCGGTACAGCCAGTCCGGGGCGCAGCCAACGATGCGCAGCAGCCACCACGGCATTCCCGCTCGTCGTGCGCTGCTCGTATTTGAACTCGCCGCCCATGAGGTAGCTGCTGAGCCGCAGCATGCTTGCCGCCCTCCTCCACCATGCCGTCATCCAGCGCTGCGACACGGCGTCCGGGTCGATCTTGTGCGTTGCCCACGGCAGCGCAAAATGCACCAGGAGCAGGTCGACAGGCACCTCGGTCAACGCCTCGAACGGCATCCACCTCAGCGGCAACAGCCCCGTCCACCCCACGGCGTAGCGGAGGAAATAGGTGTTGACGCCGACGCTGGCGACCAAGATGGCGGCGTACATGAGCGCGGATGCGCCGATCTTGCGCAGCTGCGTGAGGCTGCGCTTGTCGAGGATCTCGCGGATCGGATGGAAGCTCGGGTCGTTCGGGTCGCGGATCCAGCACAGCACGCCGGGCCGCAACACGCGCCGCGTCGCAGACACGTACTGGGCAAAGATGAACATGTAGATCGTGCCGCCCATCCAGCGTGTGAATGCGAACGTCAGCGGAGCTGCGCGAAGCTTACGCGGCCAGGCCGCGATCGAGGCATCGTCGAGCAGCGGCATCGTGCAGATGTCGAGCAGGAGCCCGCATCCGAGCGGGAACACGGCGAGCTCGATAAAGATGAATACGATCGCCTTGATGATGAGCACGTGCTGGTCCATGAACATCTTGAGCGCCGACTGTTCGGCCGCCGCACGGTGCAGGTCGGGCTTGGAGAAGTGCTGGTGGACAAAGAGCGCCAGCATCCAGTAGCCGTGACCGAAAGCGACGCAAAAGGCACGGTCGGTGCCCGACGTGCCGGCACGATGCGCATCCAGCCCAACGAAGAACGCAGAGACCAGCTCGGACAGCTTGTCCAGCGTGCCACGCACACCGGCGGCCAGCGCCACGTCGAAACACGCACTGACGGCTGCCCACTGCGTCGAGCTGGTCACGCTGTGGGGCAAAAGGCGCACGAGCATCGCTGCAGCTGCGCTCTCCTTGGCCGCGGCTGTGACGCTGACGTTTTGCGGCGTGGCTGCAAACCCGAGCGCGCTGGGAGCGAATCGGCTGATCCAGCTCGCTGCAGACTGCGACGCAGGCTTGGCAGCCGCATCGAGCACAACCACAGTGACGTTCGACTGCGACGGCGCCATACCGACAGCGCCTGCGAGCTTGGGCCAGATGTTGTTTGCGCCAATGGCGATGAGCGAGTCGAAGAGCGGGTCGGTGACGTAGCGCAGCAGCTTGACGGGGGCGGCGAGAAGGCGGACGAGCCCGGGACCGGAGCCGAGCGCCCTTCCGACGATGTAGGGGAGGATGACGAAAGCGAGCATGACGAAGGCGCAGAGGAAGATCATGAGGAACAGGTTCTGCACGATGCCGAAGAGCGGGCCGCGCATGCCGATGGCCTCGAGGATGCCGTCCATCTCCTCTGCCAGGCCGATCTCGGCTTCGGGGTCGTCGGCGTCGGCAGCCACGCCGACCTCGATCTCGTCGTCCAGCGGCGGATGCGCGATGGGCGGCGGGAAGGCTGCCACTGCGGCGGCTCGCAAGGCGGCGTCGTCCGGTGCTGCTGGAACGGCTGCCTCCGACTCGTGTTCCGACTCGACCTCCGACTCGTCCTCCCATTCATCGTCTACTTCTTCGACGGATTCGTATGCGGTGAGTCGAAAGGCGGCCCGGTCGAATGCTTCCCAAGCCGCTGCATCTCTCTGCCAGAACTCTTCATGGCCGCCTTCGTCGCGGTTGATCGTGGGATCGGCAGGCTGGCCCGCGGCTGGGTCCGTTGTAACGGAGGTTGGCTCCGATGTGGCTGCGAGTGGAGCCACTTGCTCTGATGTAGCAGCATCGTCGTTGTATGTGGCTTGGTGTTGCAAAGGGTCTTGTGATGCATCGAGCGCTGAAGAGGCTGGCGAATGTGATTGCGCGTGATCTGGCTGATCCGTGTCTGGTGCAGAAACGGACTCGACAGCTTTGCCAGATGACGTGGAGCGTTCAGCGAGTGCAGCATCGCTCGGTTGTCCGTGTGACGATATTGATGGGTCCCTCGCCATTTCTTCCGAGACGTGAGGATGTTCGTTCCATTGCGGGATGGACGACGGGATGGCGGCGGACTCGTCAAACGATCCGTAATGGTTCTCGTCTGGTTGCGGGTGCGAGGCAGACGCTTCGACGGAGGGCGTTGGATCGGCGAGCTGATGCAAGTCACTGTTGTTAGACTGGAATTCGAGGCGGCGAATGCGTGCCTGGCGTGCCTGCTCCCTCTGGGCGTCGGGATCGAGGTCCAGCTCGTGCGGGCGTGGTGTGGTGTCGGATCCTTCTTCACCATCCACGTCGCCAAGGGTCGGCAAACGCGGTTCCTCAACGTCATCGCGGGGTTCCGCGGGCTGCTGCTGCAGATCCTGCGGAGCTAGCGGCGCTGCGGGTGGATCCAGGGGCTGAGGTTGTGCGGCAGCCTCGTGGACGGGTTGGTGTTCAAAGTGCTGCGGGATGTTCTGGAGGATCCATTCGCGGAGGAGAAAGACACCGACGAAGAAGACGACGATGATGCAGCTGATGATCTGGCCCTGGAAGCAGTCGTTTGCGAGTTTGTTGAGCAGGGAGCGCAGGGCGGCGTTGATCTGATCCACGGTGATGGGCTGGCGGCTCGAGTTGTAGGCGTGGATGGCCGAGGGGTTGCGAGCGCGACCGAGGGAGGCAGAGAGGCGAACGAGAGGGGTCTGGCTGGCCGCCGACGAGTTTTGCGAATGTGTGAGGTTGCTGGCCGTCTGGTTGGAGGGTGGAGGCGATTCGAGGCTGAAGGGCGGCGTGGCGCCTGGGACGCCCATCCATGTTGCGACGTCGGCGGACCAGAAGAGGAAGCGCCATACGTTGATGTTGATGTAGGGCAGGAGTGCGAGCCATGTGAATCCGACGAGGAGCGCCCTGGCAGCGAGCTGAGCCAGGTGGTACGACCGAAAGACGAGGCGGCGGAAATAGAGGTAGCGAGGGAGGCGGCCATCGGAGGGCATGTCCTTGCGGTACTTTTTGTGAAAGATGAAGGCGTGGTTGCAGAGCTCGCAGTACTTTTTCCTCGAGTGCTGGAGCCATTCTACGAGGCAGTCCTGGTGGCAGTAGCGGATGGAGCCGGTGCACTTGCACGGATGGTAGAGCGGCGCATCTGGCTCGGGCCCGCTACGGCAGATGCGACACGAGTCATCTTCGTCCATGGCGAGCGGTCATCCGTGAGTTATTTGATGCAGCGGAGCGTGCGACGAGGAGCTACGCTGAGCACAAGCAGTGGTGGTGGTGGTGGAGGAAGGCAGGGTGGAGGAAAGGATGCGGAAAGGACTGACTGTGCATTCACGATTGACTGCTCCGCTCCGCTCCACACTCACTCGGCCTCGAATGCTTTGAAAGAGAAGCGAGCGCAGAGTGTTGCTCTCGCGCCCGATTTCGTGGATTTCGTGTGTCAGATCGCCAAGATGCACCACAGATCAGCCGCTCGACTCAGCCGCGCTCGGAATTCGGACTTTGGGCGAGGCTGCGACCCTGAACGGCAGCAACTGCACTTGACTCGACACTTCCACCTCTCCCCTTCCGCTTTGCTCAGCGCAGGCCGTCCACATCGAGCCATGGCACCCACAGCATCCACCAGCGCTGCGGGACAGCCCATGTCCGCCGTCCAGGCGCTCAAGCGCCGTCGCATGCAACAGCAGCAAGACGACCGTCCTCGCTACACCTACTCGGACGACGACGAGGAGGCCGACGATCCATCCTCGTCCACCTTTGTGCCGCTCAAGCAGCGCCGCATGCAACAGCTCGAACAGATCCAAGCGCGTGCTCGCGGTATCACCTCCACGCATGCATCAGGCTCGCATGACGCCAACGCCGACCAGGCCCAGGGCGAGGACGAGGACGACACAGATAGCCGCGCACCGCAACGTCCACAAAGGTCGCTTCTCGACGAGGCGCGACTGCTGCGCGAGAAGAAGCTCGCAGAGGAAGGCAAAAGGTCGCAGGCAGACATCGATGCCGAGGAAGAGCGCAAGATCCTCGAGGCGCATGCCGCACGCAGGAAACTCGCCAGCGACCTCGAGCTCGCCAAGGGCATCCAATACACCGAGCCTCTCACCACAACATGGACACCGCCTTCCTACATCCGCATGCGCTCCGAGCTGGACAACGAAAACCTGCGCGACAAGAACCACATCCTCGCCGATGGCGTCGACATTCCGCCGGTCATCACCAACTTTCGCGACATGAAGGTGCCCGAATGCGTGATCGAGTACCTCAAGACGCAAAAGAAGATCGTCAAGCCGTCGCCCATCCAGATGCAAGGTCTGCCGACGGCGTTTGCAGGCCGCGACATGATCGGCATCGCCTTCACCGGCTCGGGCAAGACGCTTGCCTTTTCGCTGCCGATCATCATGCTGGCGTGCGAGGAGGAGAAGCGGCTGCCCTTCACGCGCGGCGAGGGGCCGGTGGGTATGATCGTGTGTCCGTCGCGCGAGCTGGCGCGCCAGACGTTCGAGTCGATCAAGGGCATCGCCGATGCGCTTGTGCAGGGCGGATACCCGCAGATCGGCGTGCTCCTCTGCATCGGCGGCATCAGCATGGCCGAGCAGCAACACACCATGTCCAAGGGCTTCCACATTGTCGTCGCCACCCCGGGCAGGCTGCAGGACATGCTGGAGAAGAAGAAGTTCGCGCTCGACGGATGCAAGTATCTGTGCCTGGACGAGGCGGATCGGATGATCGACATGGGATTCGAGGACGACGTGCGCAACATCATGGGCTTCTTCAAGCAGCAGCGACAGACGCTGCTGTTTTCGGCTACGATGCCCAAGAAGATCCAGGACTTTGCAGAGCAGTCTCTGATCCGACCGGTGATCATCAACGTCGGTCGTGCAGGTGCTGCTTCGCTCGACATCATTCAGGAGGTGGAGTACGTCAAGCAGGAGGCCAAGATGGTGTATCTGCTCGAGTGTCTTCAAAAGACTGCACCTCCCGTGATCGTTTTCAGCGACAACAAGAACGAGGTAGACGATATCCAAGAGTACTTGCTGCTCAAAGGTGTTGAAGCGGTAGCGATTCACGGAAGCAAGACGCAGGACGAGCGAGAGTATGCGATCCGCGCGTTCAAGTCGGGTCAGAAGGATGTCATGGTCGCTTCCGGGGTGGCGTCAAAGGGGTTGGACTTTAACGAGATCCAGCATGTGATCAACTACACCATGCCCAAGGAGATCGAAGACTACGTGCACCAGATCGGTCGTACGGGTCGCAGTGGAAAGACCGGCATCGCCACCACCTTTGTCAACGCCAATACCCAGGAACAGACCCTACTCGATCTCAAGTATCTCCTCATGGAGGCCAAGCAACGAATCCCTCCCTTCTTGGCAGCTATCGAAGATCCAAGATTAGCGGCAACGGGAGGCAAATTGTCCAGCTGCCCCGTTTGCGGAGGTCTCGGTCACAGCATCCGAGACTGCCCAAAACTCGAAGACAACCAGCGCAGACAGACCGCCCAATTCTCAAGAGCCGACGAGGGCGGTTACTAAGTTCCATCTCGCATCCGATCCAGCTTCCGTCTCTCCGTCTCTCTGTACTTGTATCAATCTCCCGAAATTTTCCACACAAACACACGCGAGGGTGAACCATGCAGAACGACACTTGAGCATTTCCGATACGCCATGGCCACACGAGCCAAGCCCGGTGCGTCATGGCGAGAGTGGGACGATCGAAACGGCGTCAGAGCGTCGCTATTGGCCTAGAAACATGGCAAGGGGGGTAGGTGGTGGTGTTGAAGCCAACCGCGTTTAGGCGGTGGGGGGCTTGGTGCCCTCCTCGAACATGAAGGTGAGCTTGCACTTGCCGCAGTACTGGCGGTTCTTGTGCCACGACATGAAGATGCCGGCGCCGCACTCGGGCGAGGGGCACTCGCGACGGAGGCGCTTGATGTTGCCATCGCCGTCCACCTTGTAGTACTTGAGGATGGACATCTTGACCTTCTTGCGCTTGTGGGGGATGCGCTTGGGGGTGGTGTAGACCTTCTTCTTCCTCTTCTTGGCACCACCACGCAGGCGAAGCACGAGGTGGAGGGTGGACTCCTTCTGGATGTTGTAGTCCGAAAGGGTGCGGCCGTCCTCGAGCTGCTTACCGGCGAAGATAAGTCGCTGCTGGTCAGGGGGGATGCCCTCCTTGTCCTGGATCTTGGCCTTGACGTTGTCGATNAGTCGCTGCTGGTCAGGGGGGATGCCCTCCTTGTCCTGGATCTTGGCCTTGACGTTGTCGATGGTGTCCGAAGACTCCACCTCAAGGGTGATGGTCTTACCCGTGAGGGTCTTGACGAAGATCTGCATCTTGATCACGGTTGTGCTAACCAGTATAAGTGGTGTCCTCTGTGGTGAAGAGAGCGTCGAGTGCGATGTACGAGGTCAGCTGGCTGTTCCAACGTTCCGTAGGACTGTCATCTGCCTGCTGCTGGCATTAACAGACGACTGTGTGCCATGGCGAGATGAATTTGCAGGAAGGACGGTCGATGCGACCCAGTGATCAGAATACTTACTGCTATGAACCGTAAGGAGAAGAAGGAAGGAGTGGCCGCTGGCGCCGACGTCTTTGAGGTCGCTCAGCCTGCGCCTTCCGTCTCTCTCGCTGCGCCGTCAAATTTCTTCATTGCTCAGCAGTCTCCGGGTTGACGGGGTTAGTCGAACACTGCTCAAGTGCCTCGGCGAGAGCTGGCGGCCTTCCCGGGCCAAAACTGCGAAAATCGAACCCAGAGTCACGTGCTGCGGCGATACCTTCTTCTCGCACCGATACCTTCTTCTCGCACGAGTAAGTCTGATCGGGCTTTGTCACTTAGGGGCGACCTAACAAATGATGTAGTTTTCTATTGGCTCGCTGGATGTGCTTGCTCTGCTTCACACGATGATACACAGCGCACAATTCATGAGACGATGCGGAGGATACAAATGCGATGGTGGATACAAGTACAAGTGCGACAAAGGGGGAGACGTTGACAGCGGCATTGGGCGGACAGAGTAGCCAAGGGAGGTCGAATGCCTGGCACGACCCGGCAATGACCAGATTATGGGCAGCGCATCCAGCCGAGAGGCGGGCAGGCTGCTGCTTCAATTGAGGTCGAGGTCGAAGGCGTCTTCGTCTTCGTCCTGCTTTTGCTGCTGTTCGCGGAGGTGCGAGTAGGATGCAGCAAAGTCGGCCACCGGCAGCTCGTCCTGCTCGTCCATGGCGACGTCCTCGGCGGGCTGTTCGGCCATGGGTGCGCCGGCGAGCATGTCGGCACTGTTGAGGATGCCCTGTCGCATCATGGCGTCGGAGGGGAACGGCATCTCTTGCGGCATGGACGGTATGGCCGGATCGTAGTACGCCGCGGCCTTCTTGGCGTACTGGTTGTAGTCGGGTCCGAGCGCAATCTCGACTGCCTGCGCATCTCCATCATCGCCGCCAGCCTGTTCCGCCTTCGTTGGCTCTGATTTCACTGTCTTCGATGTCGATGCGACTTGGGGCAGCTTGTATCCTGGTGGTGCTGAGGTGTACTTGGCTAGTCTCTGGGCGTACGTGAGCAGGGTGGCGTGGCCCACAGGTCGTTCGGCCGCACGCGCAATCGACGCCAGCTCGTCCTCGGACAGCCGTGTGATCTCGGCGAGCTCGGCATTGATGCTGCTCAGCTCGAGGATCGCCTGGCGTGTGTCGCGGTCTCGCCGCCTCGCCTTGGCCTGCAGCTGCTCGATGGTCGCCTGGTTGGCGGCGTGCAGGTGCGCGAGCTGGATGCGCTGTGCGAGCAGCTCGTCGACCTCGCGCAACGCTGCAAGCACGTCCGAAACGCCACGCAGCTTCCACGACTTGTCGGCCGCAGTGTCGGTGATCGTCCTCGTCTTTTGGTGCGATGGATTCTCGATGGATGCAAAGAGGTGCTTGGCGAGATCCGAGTAGGCGCCGAGCGTCGAGAGCAGCAGCGCTGCGGTTGTGGGCTCCTTGGACCCGGACGAGGACGCCATGGTGGCAGTGCACCGTCGCAAAGGCACCGATACGAGTGCTGCGTCGGTTCGAAGCGAGCGTGAAGCGTAAAGGGATGGTGGTTGGGTGGGGGGCGGTTGAGGCGAGGATTGGCGCGTGCGAGAAGTCGGACGTCGACTTCCGGGTCCCGGCTCAAAAAAGGCCAAGCCAAGGGACCCTGGTTCATCCTTGCCCAGACATCCTCACCTCGATTGTCCCCTCGAGCTACCCATAAGGGGCCTTACTGTGCCTGACCATGTCCGCCGCAAACCAGGCGTTTCGTGGCGCCTCGCTGTACGCGGGCATCTTTGACGATGCGCCCAGCGACGCGCCACAGCAAGACACCGCCTCGTCCAAGTCCGGCCAAGAAGCCTCAGCTACAGGCGACTCGGCAGCCGGCTCGTCGTCCAAGCCTTCAGGTACTTCTCCCCGCGCACCCGACTGTTGCGCATGACGCGAGCTGATGGTGGAGGACGTGCGAGCAGCGATTCGCACGGCCATTGCGTGGAACAGCGGTGCTCACTGACGCTGCACTTTGACTCTTTGTGATGTGGCCGGCAATCGGCAGGCAATCCAGGCTGGTCGGCCTCACTGCGGTTTGCGCCGCGACGCACGGGTGGGGCCAAGCCAAAGTCGCGCCCCAACGCCGCCTTTGTTGCGTCGTTCGCACCTGTACCTCCGAGCGACACGCCTGAACAGTCTAGCAAAGCCATCCTCGTGCCACCCCTTCCGCAGCACACTTCCGAAGCTGCCGAGACGACGTCGTTACCAGCGGCACAGCTCACTAGACCCTCTGTTAGTGGGGTTGGGAAAAAAGACGAGCAGGGAAAGGCTGGGCGGTTGGTAGAGACTTCGGACCTCAAGCTTACAGCGCTTGCACTGCCGCAGAGCGCAGACGATGGATGGCTTGCAGCCGAGCTGGACAAGTACCGTGTGGATTCAGCGCCGCCGTACGTGCTTGCGCCCGAAGAGGTGGAGCGCGACAAAGCACTCGCTCGACACCCTGAACGCGGCGACGAGTGGGACGAAGCCGAGGCGGACGAAGACGTCAATGGCTTCTTTGCCACCAATGCGGGCAAACGCGCTCGAAAGAAGGTAAGCATGCACAACAATGGCTGCGGACGGACTGTTGCTGACGGACACTGTAGAAGAAGCGCAAGCGCGGGATGTCGCCCGTGGGACCGAGTCTGAACGGCGAGTACGATCCGCGTGCTCCCAACGACTACCTTGCGTACAAGAAGGTGGTGTACGAGCGACGCTCTGCCCAACTCGACCAGCAAAAGTGGCAACAAGAATACGACCCGCAAGACTGGCGAGAATACGACGACCAACAGGATCAGCCCCATCCCGAAGCCTCACGCAACCATGGTCCTCTGACGGGAGAAGAGGCGTACCAACGCAGGATGGCCATGTCCCAACCACCCGCACCTGGTCCTCCACCACGTCCGCCGCCTTTACTCCAAGTAGCCGATCTAGACGCGCGCCAAAACGCCGCTGCCATTGCTGCGCGCTTAGCTGCGCTTGCACCACCACCCACAGACCAGCCATAAGCATAGCTTACGATACCCATCCACGCCACTCGAGCCCAATTGCATTTTCTAGATTGATTTCTGTTTTGGCGGTTTTCAGAGGCAAGCCCCTCCGGAGCAGACCCCCTTGGTTGTCGGGAGACGAGTGGGAAGGGGGGAGGATTAGGGTTTGGGGACGCGGAGGGTCTTGCTGACCATTGCGGTCGCCCATGCCAGCCAGAGGAAGGCGATCCAGTGGCCCTGAATCCTGGCCACAGCCTGTGCGGTCTCGACTGCGTCCTTGGCGGAGAATCCGGGGATGAGGTGGAACACCTTGGCGGCTGCGCTGGAAAAGTCGATGGTAAAAGTGCCGAGCGGGACGCCTCGGCCGCTGAAGCTGTCGGGGAGGTATTCGCGGAGCGAGCCAGTGAACGTCAGACCCTTGCTGGAGATGTAGCCGCGTTCCTTTGCGAGTGCGATGGGCAGTCCTCCAGGCTCGATGCGTCCGGTGAGCAGGCACACTGCCATACCGCCGACAAGCACGAGCGACGACGGGATGGGCAGACCCTCAAAGTAGCGCGCCTTGCCCGAAGCATCGTGCGGAATCGTGGCGGCGGTCACGTTGAATCTGGCGAGCCTGGCAACACCGGCACACACGAAGAGCGTGAGGATGAAGCTGTCCAGGCCACCGCGCAGGCCGAGCGCATACGCGGCAAAGGCAGGTGCGGCACCAAAGCTGAGCGAGTCGGCGAGACTGTCGAGTTCCTGTCCGAGCATGGACGACGACTTGCGCCAACGTGCCACCTTGCCGTCGAGCAGATCAAAGATCGCTCCGAACAGCGGGAACCACAGCGCGAGCCATGCATGCTTGGGGTCCGAGGTGATCAGGTAGCGCGCCGAGGCGAAGAGCGACTGTGCGCCGCAAAAGGCGTTCATGAGCGTAAAGGCATCGGCGAGGTGGAAGTTGCGCACGAGCGAAAAGTGGCCGTCGGTCTCGACAAACTTGACCAGCTCGCTCGACGCGCCATCCTTGTCGGCGCCAGCGGCGGCGGATCTGGCGTTGGACTTGCGTTTGCGCACGCCACCGGCGCCGGACGCGGGGGAGGAGAGTTGCTTGGTCATGTTGGCCTGGAGGTTGGAGGGGGCAAGTGCGGAGGAGAGGGACGAGGTGGATGTGAGCTGTGCAGCGCCTTTGGAAGCGACGCCCGAGGTGGGATGCGAGAGCGGCGACGGTGTGACGAGCGACGGAGGCTGCGGGTCGTCGTGACGGTTCGAAGCGGCGGCGACGTGCGGGTCCGAGGCGAGGAGGGGCGAGACGGTTGCGCGCGAGACGTCGGTGGGGGTGTGGGTGGCGTCAACAAGGGCAGGATCGGTGATGGCCGGGATGGTGCCGGGCATATGTGTGAGAGTAGAGAGTGGACAAGAAGTTGGATGCAAGTCGAGATGGAGGGCGAGCGAGCGAGCGAGGGAGCGAGCCAGGATGGAAATGCAGCAAATGCACGGATCCATCGGCGTTGGGTTGCGTTGCGCTGCGTTGCGTTGGGTTGCGCTGCGTGTGTGCTTTTTCTTTTCTTCAGCAGCGAGGAATGCGTCGATTTCCTGCCTTTTCCGCCTCTTTCGCCTCTCTCTGTGTGACGCGTTGGTTGCAGCGGTGACTGTGCCTTTTTCCCTCTTCTTCACTCTCCTCCTCCTGGCTGTGGTGCGGCCGTCGGAGGCACAGAGACGCGCGTCGACGAGTGTTGGGTTGCTATGTGGAGAGGAAAAAAAAGTGACGTCGACCCAGCCGAATCGATTTTGAGCGGAAGAGCACACGTGGAGCGAAATTTCAAGTTAGGTAATGTTACATCGGCGTGATCCACAGTCAGCTATTTTCTTTTCGCCGTCGCCTCGCGGTCCGAGCATTGATTCAACTCTCGCGTCTCGTGTGGCCTTGCACAGCAGCGGACCACCATCCTCCTCCTCCTCCTCCTCCTCCTCATCC